TCTTGCCTACTTCTCTGTTAACTAACGCCTCACCACAAAGGCTATATGCTGAGCCACGAAACGAGAAACGGTAAACAAGAGACAATGGAGATGATACAAGCCTGGTCATAAGTAGAGATATCTCTTGCGTAATGGGGAATGCTGTGTTCCAAGCCTACTTACTCCCCATTGTGTATGTGTGTGTATGTATGTATGTATTTACATTTGTGTTTTATGTATGTCTGTGTATGGGAGTGTGTGTGTATGTGCACGCGCGCGCGCGCGCGTGTGTGTGTGTGTGTGTGTGTGTGTGTGTGTGTGTGTGTGTGTGTGTGTGTGTGTGTGTGTGTGTGTGTGTTATTAAAAACTCCGGGAACAGCTGATTATAAAGTTGAGCCTTGAAGATACCTCGCAAGATTAAATTATGGCAATCGAGTAAAAAGGCCCTAGTCATAAAATTGAAAAAATACAATAAACCTTTAAACCGATAACTCCTCTCCCCCCCACCCACACCCCCACCCTCTCTCTTCCGTACCCCTTTTCCCCTACCTCGTTCACCCCTTCATGTTGCCCTAGCAACGGAAGGGGCTGTGGGTACCTTGATGCATGTGTTGACTTGGCAGGTGCGCCCTAATGACCTGCCCGTTGACAGAGTTCGAGGATGCATTTGCTGGCGTCGCTCCATCTGCTCTGCGGCGGACTCTCGCGCGCGGCAGACAAAGGAAATGTTTTATCTGCCTTTGTCCATCTTTTTCTCCGTATGTCTGTCGTTTGTCTCTCTCTCTCTCTCTCGCTCTTGCTATTTCTCGCTCTCTCTCTCTCTCTCTCTCTCTCTCTCTCTCTCTCTCTCTCTCTCTCTCTCTCTCTCTCTCTCTCTCCTCTCCTCTCCTCTCTCTCTCCTCTCTCTCTCTCTCCCTCTCTCCCTCTCTCTCTACCCCCCCCCTCTCTCTCTCTCTCTCTCTCTCTCTCTCTCTCTCTCTCTCTCTCTCTCTCTCTCTCTCTCTCTCTCTCTCTCTCTCTCTCTCTCTCTCCCTCTCTCTCTCCCTCTCCCTCTCCCTCTCCCTCTCCCTCTCCTTCTCCTTCCTCCCCCTTCCCTCTCAACCAATCCTTCTTCATAGACGCATAAAAGAAAGGAGAGGAATGCTACGTGTCCTAAAGCATGTTCTATGTTGTATTGTGTCCTCCCCCCACCCCCCCACCCCCCACTGACCTTTTATCGAAACATGATAAAGAGTAAGAATAGCAAAAGGAGGGGCCTTGGAGTGTGTTTTGTCTTTTTGTTATTTATTTGTTTACTTATTTTTTTATCTGTGTTTCTAAGTGACCTCTCTCCCCGTTTCTTTCTATAGTGGAATGTCATTTTACGTGTTATTTTGTAGGCTTATGTTTGTGTTTTGTTTACCCATTGTAAAAGGTACAACTAGTGATGATCATTTATGCAAAAAAAAATGCAGTAGCTCAATGTTAGGATAATCCTCTAAGACACTTATTCTGTTTTTTTGTTTTTTTCTTCCTTTCTTCTTCTTCTTCTTCTTCTTCTTCTTCTTCTTCTAAATTCTATCCCTCTTTCTCTTCCTCTTCTATTCCTCTTCCTCTTCTTCCTATTCTATTCCTCTTCCTTTTCCCTTTCCTCTTTTTCTACATGAAACTAACCTCGTGTGTTTTCTCTCCCTCAGCTGATGGCTTTACGTACACTTTCGGCATCTACTTCGTCCACTTGCTGCAGTATTACCAGTCCACGGCAGCAGCAACCTCCTGGATCGCCTCCATTCTCGTGGGCGTTACCCTCGGCACAGGTAAGGTGTAAACTCTGGTCTGGTAACTGTGGTAACCCTTCTCCTGGTAACTTTGGCTGTTTTATTTAGTAGTAGATTTTTTACATTTTTTTAGGAATAAATTCAGTATCAGTCATAATTTAGTGGCCACATTAGCATTCCTCATTTGACATTTGATTAAATTGATGAAGTTGATTGTATCTTGCAAGTCATTTCAAATTAGTTCAGCAACTAAACTTTGGAGACACTATAATTGCCATAGCAGTTTGGAACAATTATCTGTAATGATTCCCTATATGAGACATGCAGTGGTTGCAACATGGGAGACGTAATTTAAACGCAAAAACATATAACAGAAAGGGGCCCTCATCCCTGCCTGGTGTAAGGTTGCTAAAGACCTGATCATATCTTCGTTCTTAATGGTGTTGGTCTTCCAGCCTGTCACTATCAGCTGACATGGGGAGAGAGTTGTGGACACTGAGAACGTACTAATTAATTTTATTCAAAACGAAACAAGAGAATTGTAGCAAACGACTCCTGTTGCATGTCATCTTACCGATTCCCCCTGCAAGTACGTACGTCGTTTGAGGCGGCGATTTGCAAACTAACTTCCCTCACGCCCGCAGGTCCCATCGCCGGCATCCTGGTCAACAAATTCGGATGCCGCCTTGTGACCATCGCCGGCGCCGTGTTGGCCTCGGCGGCGCTCTTCGTGTCCATCTACGCCCCCAACGTCCAGACGCTCTACATCACCATCGGGTTGGGAGCAGGTCAGGCCACGCGGGTGTTGCTTTTGGCGAGTGGGGCGGGGTGGAGGTGGGGTGGGGGGGAAGCAAGGCAGGAGACGAGAGATTTTGGTGTTAGAGTAAGAGAAAAACAGCAGGACGAGGTGGTAGAGATAATAATGGCTAAGTACTGTATGGGTGCGGGTACACTTTTTTTTTTTACCGAACTGAAAATCGACATGTTCGTGATAGATGTTGCTTATACACAAAATCTTGCATTTGGCGCCAAGCTATTTTACTGAATCATGATTTTACATTGAGTCATTTACGATGATTCGGCACTTTTGATACGGTATTGTAATTTAAAGTTTTGTATTTCATGGTCTTGGACTGTGTAACCTTTAGGTAAATGTCACAGACGCCAGTTTCATAACACCTTATTTTTAATACATGAAAGTCTGACGGCGAATATTGGTTTTGCAAGAAACGAGAACGAACAAGTAAGTATGCTAAAAAACCGCCTGTTATCAAAAGAAAGGTTTGAGTAACTCATCATCATATAATGGAGAGGGGGGCGGGGGGAAGAAAATGGAAGAAAGATGCATAGATGAAATAATTTCAGATCACTCATACGATGAGCCTGTTGTTATCCCCACCAATCCCGATAAATCCCTCCTGCAATGACGTTAATATCCCACGTTGCAGGTCTCGGCTTCGGGTTGATCTACCTGCCGGCGATCGTGTGCGTGACGGGCTACTTCGAGAAGCGGAGGTCCTTCGCCACGGGCATCGCGGTCTGCGGCTCCGGCATTGGCACCTTCGCCTTCTCTCCCTTCGTGGAGTATTTGGTGAGTCTCTCTCTCTCTCTCTCCTTTCTTTCTTTGTTTGTCTCTGTCTTTCTTTTTCTTTTTTTTTTTACTTTTTCGTTCGTTCTTTCTCTTCTCTTTTCTTCTCTTCTGTTCTGTTCTGTTCTCTTCTGTTCTCTTCTCTTCTCTTCTCTTCTTTCTCTTCTCTTCTCTTCTCTTCTCTTCTCTTCTCTTCTCTCTGTCTCTCACTCTCTTTCTCTCTCTCTCTCTCTTCTCTCTCTCTCTCTCTCTCTCTCTCTCTCTCTCTCTCTCTCTCTCTCTCTCTCCTCTCTCTCTCTCTCTCTCCTCTCTCTCTCTCTCTCTCTCTCACTCTCTCTCTCTCTCTCACTCTCTCTCTCTCTCCTCTCTCTCTCTCTCTCTCTCTCTCTTCTCTCTCTCTCTCTCTCTCTCCTCTCTCTCTCTCTCTCCTCTCTCTCTCTCTCACTCTCTCTCTCTCTCACTCTCTCTCTCTCTCTCTCTCTCTCTCTCTCTCTCTCTCTCTCTCTCTCTCCTTTCTTTCTTTGTTTGTCTCTGTCTTTCTTTTTCTTTTTTTTTTTACTTTTTCGTTCGTTCTTTCTCTTCTCTTTCTTCTCTTCTCTTCTCTCTCTTCTCTTCTCTTCTCTTCTCTTCTCTTCTCTTCTCTTCTCTTCTCTTCTCTTCTCTTCTCTCTGTCTCTCACTCTCTGTCTCTCACTCTCTTCTCTCTCTCTCTCTCTCTCTCTCTCTCTATATATATATATATATATATATATATATATATATATATATATATATATAAATATATATATATATATAAATATATATATATATAAATATATATATATATATAAATATATATATATATATATATATATATATATATATATATATATATATATATATATATGTATATGTATATCTTTCTCTCGTTCTTTGTCTTTTTATCCCTTTCTCCCTTGTCTCTCTCTCCTTTTCTTGAGTCATATTGATTATTAGAAAAAATTACAATTCAATGAAAGTCACACACACGCCTTTTAATAGACTATTTTTCACCCTAACAGATCAATGAACTCAGCTGGCAGAATTCTCTGATCATATTATCAGGACTAATGCTTAATTGCGTCGTGTTCGGAGCGCTCTTCAGGCCCCTTGAAGACAATACTGCCCCTGAGCCGTGTGAATTAGACGCAGAAGACCCAACCAATAGAGATTTCCTCGTGTTGAATGACATGCCCAGGATACAGGTTTGTTTTACAGAGCATGGGTATTTGCAAGGAAGTTTTGTAGTTGGGCCATTGAGGAAGTATGTATGTGGGTGTATATAGTATTGGTAAGGGCAAGTGCTGAAGTCTCAAGGTTTATTGTAAGAGATGTTGGTTGAAGTATCTGAATGGTCGTTGGTGAAGTGGCAAAATGAATTTGCAGATAAATTTGTTTATTTGAGATTTTTTTTTTTAGTAATATCAGTATAGTAGCTATGTCAGTAACTTAATTAAGTAGATATTCTATCTTTAATATATTTTCCTACTTTCAGTGATTAAAATTCTTTATGTAATAATCACCATTTATTTATTTATTAAATTTTTTTTTTTATTTTTTTTACAGTTCACAAGTGATAACAGTGAGCTAAAGAAAAATTTCAGTGATGCCAACTTGGTTCTGCAAAGCCACACCCCAAGCAATATCCAGCGTATTAGTTCTCATGGCAACATCAACCCCATGCTTCAAAACCTGAAAAATGCTGAGGCTACAAGAATGGCCGTCTCACAACCATGTATGATGAAGCCACTCTTTTATCTAATCATCTACATGTTATTTTTTTTCTCCTGAATTTTGGTACTTGAAGGACAAAATAGTGTTTATTATTTATTCACATCTGTTACATTTTCCTCCTACTTTCCCAGTGTTGCCTGTGCCTGAGAAGCAAGGATTTATTTCCTCTGGCCTGGATAGTACCCACAGCCAAGCACGGAAGAGTGGCAGCCTGCCCTCGTCCCACCATGGCTCGGGTCTCTTGTACCGCAAGGACATCTTCTACAGGGGTTCTTTGCTCAACATCCAGGCATACAAGTAATTGGATTTCTTTTTTTTTTTTTTTTTTAGTATCAGTTAACCCCTTTGGATATTCCTCTGAGAAATATGGTTAATGTTACAACTCTTTGATTGTTAAGTGGGAAAAATTGAACAAAACTTTTTTTAAATGCATGTTCTGAATAATGAAAACTGTCAGTCTTATTCCATATATTTACAATTCTTCTACTTGTACATATTTCAAAATTCTTCCAAGATGTTTTTTTTTCCTCTGGAGTATTAGATTAATTTATAATTAAGATCCTGTATGCCATGATCAACCAACCTGTTAGTACCATATCAGAGATACACCCATTAATATTCCCCTCTTTCAGACAGCACTTGTTTTTTTTTAATCTCTTAGATTGGTTTCCTTGTTCTCCTTATCCTTCAACCTTTGTAGACCTTACCTTTGGAGTAGAACCCTACTTAAAATATGCCCAAAGATAGAACTTGGGATTGCAGCATCCAAACCAATAGAGAGTCCTCTAGTAATTCCTACTTTCCCTCTCAGACAGAATCCAAGCAGTTACAGGGCATCTATGGCCAGGCTCCCAGATGCTGAGGAGACGCCCAGCGAAGTGGAGAAGGCAAAGGTTAGTGAGAAGCAGTGGCAGTCTGACGTGTATGGTATTGTTATGTTTACAGAAATTTGTTTTGTCTTTTTGTACAAATGTTTATCCGTGATCTGTATTAATTCATTTTAATGGAATGGTTATTCACATTTTCAGGTTGTTGATTTTTATATGCTAAAGATTTTGATAATTTAGAATGACCTTTTTTTATCTCCAAGTTAGATTTCTTTGATTTATCCATTGATCCAAAAATATTTTCAGACTGTTACAGAGAATATTTTGTAATTTAATGTACACTTACATTATTTATAACTTTACTCTGCATATTATCTTGCTACTTATTTATTCAAACAAGGAAGTGTGAGGTGGAGGCCTTCAGTCATTTAACAGAAATTTCTTATAGGTGTGTGGATGCGTGCCATGCTCCAGGGAGACACGGGATGCCATGAAGAGCCTTATGGACTGGGAGCTTCTTGTCGATGGAATCTTCATCCTCTTTGCCTTCTCCAATTTTTGCACGTCCATTGGATTCAATGCCCCTTATATTTTCATTGTGGTGAGTTTGTATTTAGTGTGTAATGATTATTGTGTAATCCCTTTTATATCTGCTACTGGCATATTGAGAACTAGTGTGTTCTGATTTATTAATATATTTGCACAGTGTTAAAATCATTATTACAGAAACTGTCTTGATAAAACTCCAAGAATTATTAGCAATTGTAACAAAGAATATTGTGAATAAGAATGGCAATAACAAAAACATTACTCTCAATGGATGTTACAATACAGGACCCTTACCTTACAGGATCGTGCCCGACATCTAGGCATCTCTGACAAAGACTCCTCATACCTGTTGGCAGTTGTCGGCATTTCTAACACAGTGAGCCGTATCATGCTTGGTTATATTTCTGATCAGCCTTGGGTCAATCGCCTTTACCTCTACAATATAGCTCTCACCCTCTGTGGCGTTGGTGAGTGTTCTTACATCAGTATTTAGAATGGATTCTTCTTTTGGTTCATTTATCTGTAATTTTGTTATAAGCTTTGCTGAAAATTTTGGAATAGTTGTCTTTCTAGAAATGATATGTTTTAATGTTTGTCTTACTAAGAATGGATATCAGAACAGCATATATAGCTTTTAAAAGAAAGAAAACAGAGTATCAGGGTTGAATATCAGAAATAAGTTATATAGTGTTTAGAATAGAAATATTCTATCTCATCCATACTAAAACATTTTAAGTATAAAACTTCTGTTTTTATATATTTCTTGAAACATGTTCCTTTATACAAAGTCCAATAACAAAGACATATTTCAAGGAAAGGATGTAAGCTTTTCTCTTTTCTCTTTTCCTTTTTTAACAGGAACCTGCGCAAGCATTTGGTTTTACAGCTATGAGTCCCAGATCTTTTATGCAGTCGTCTTCGGATCCATGTCTGGTGCATATGTTGGACTAACATCTGTTGTACTTGTGGATCTGCTAGGGATGGAAAGACTCACAAATGCCTTTGGTCTTCTCCTTATGTTCCAAGGCATTGCTTCTATTTTGGGCCCACCACTGTGTGGTAAGTATGATGTCCATGAAAGTCTTTATGCTATTTGTATGATCCATACATTTATCTGTATGTATATACCTTTGGTGTTTATGTGGTTGAGAAGTAACTTTCTCTTTACATAATAGTCTTGCTAAACACAACCCTTTTTATTTGTCCTTTTTTCCAGGTGTACTCTTTGATCAGACTGGCTCCTATGACTACAGCTTCCTTCTTGCTGGCAGTATGATAGCTATCTCAGGACTGATGCTGTTCTTCATCCCATGCATTTGGAGAATTCAAGCAAGGAAGCTCGCCAAACAGGTTAACTCCAACACAGTGCAGTAAATAGCCAAAATCCTGGAAAAAATGGTATAAACTAAATGTGCTTATAGAGGTTGATGATGATGGCACAACTTGTCAAAGCTTAAAGGAAGCTCATTATGGTTTTGCAAAACAGATGGCTGTGTAGGATAAAGTACTAATGCACTACATTTAGCCAAGTGTGAAGACTTCTAAAAGGATTGAATGTCTGCTCTGCATGAATATGAAAATTACAGTGCCATTGAGCAGTTTTCTTCAGACATTTGTATACTTTTCATTTTCTTTTGTTTCATTTTTTTAATGATTTTACATTATCTTAGAAAATGATTTTCATGGTATTCATTAACACTATTTGACATCAGACTCATTATATCTCCTCCTCATTGGTATTTCTGAAGCAGTCACTCATATTAAGCTTTCTTAATCAGACTATTAGAAGTATTGGGACCAGATTCTATATTTAGATTTAACAAAAAAAAATCTTTGTTATTATGTAACTCATTAAACAGAGACTGGTATATCTAGCCTCTTTATGTGTGATGTAGGACTATCAAAATAAATGATGGAATTTTTTGGTGCTAATGTTAATGTCTTTGAGATGTTTGTGAGAATGCAAGACCCATCGAGTTTGTATACTCCTTGCATAATGCACTGGTCTATTTTTTTTTGTTGATTTTTGTTTCTTTCTTTTAAAATTGATTGGTATGTAAATAATTACTACCTTAAGTTGTAAATCATTCAATGTTCGAGGGAATAGGAAGAGACAGATTGATAGCAACTTATTGTTCTGTATTGTGGTCAGTGCATCAACCATATAATTTTCATGACTGAACAGTGTAATTGGGTATATATTTGATAACCATTGATAGCACAGCATTGGAATGATGCTTCATACATATTCCTTTTTTTTTTTGCAATTCATATGTCTCATTATGAAACATCGTTAGTGTTAGATAGGGATTGATCATTTACAAGATAGGTTTTTGTGTACTTCATATATTCATGTAGGGCTTTCATTACTTTCCCTCTTTGAATATGCTTTATCTGTGTACTTATTATTATTTTTTTATATTTATTTAATGTGTTTCCCCTGACAATGCAGGTCTAGATTTTTTTAAATCATAAGATTAGTTGCAAAAAAAAAAAAAAAATGTTTTGGTTCATTGGTTTGAATGTAAAGAAAAATGCTATCTTTCTGTAGCAATGACTTCATTTCAATATTAAAATGAAGGGCTTTCTTTTGTGTGATACATATATACATATATTTTCTTCTTCTTCCTATTCAAGTGCTTTTTATATCAATTAGCCTTCAAATGCCAATATTTATTATAGGGAATTTATATGTCTGTTTGTAGTCTCACTTTCCTTATCTCTTTCCTGTGTACCTTATTTCATTAACCCTTTACTGCTCAAAGGTGGGTCCAACTGGCAGATACTCTTTGCTCATTTCAGTAAATATTCTTATAGTAAAACCTCTGTTCACTTTCAAAACATTTATTTCCCTCTCACTATTTTACTTGTCTGGTTAGTCTTTATATGTGTTTATGCCATTACAAATGTCCTTCTGGGAATACCTGCTGACATCTGAGATAACATGATAGTATATGTTGCCAATGAATTTTCCTTCTGGGTGGTAAAGTGTTAAGACTATCAAGATGTGAAGCATATTGATTGATTATTGCAAAACATGATGTTCATGTGTAAAAATAAGGATATTGTCATTTTTAGATTTACTAACATTTTACTAATGTACATACTGTATCCGTGACACAAAGGCATGCATAATGTGAAAAGAAGTGTAGGTATTATTGTTATAGAAAACAGTCTCACAGAAAAAATGGTAATTGCTAATTCTTTGTAGTTATTGTTATTATTATCATTGTTATTTTGTGTTAGCAATATTATTATCATTGTTATTATTATTATTATTGTTTATTATTATTATTATTATTATTATTATTATTATTATTATTACTGATAATATTGCTGTTATTATTATTTTTTAAATTGTTATTATTATTATTATTATTATTATTATTATTATTATTATTGTTTTTGTTATGATTGTTATTTATATGATTATTATTATTACTATTAATAATATTATTATCATTATTATTATCATCATCTTTATCATTATTTTTCTTATTGATGAATTATTTGTATAAAAAAAAAAGTTATTTTAGAAAATAATAATAAAAGTGTACTTGATATGATTCTTATTTATTTTTTATAGGATTACTTAATCTTTGTTTTTGTTTTTGTTCATGTGGCCAAATATAGTATATATATTTCACCCTATATGCTATCTTCATTTATTTGTAATTCTTACACACTAAGAAAGTAGAAATTGAAGTTACGAATGTGTGCAATATGGCCATTGCATCAAAGGTTATATATTTTGGATAAGGACAATAACAACCAAATTTACGTGTAATATAAGTATAATTCATTGAATATTCCAGTGTGATGATGATGATGTGTTTGTGTTGTGTGATTTAGATGATTATAATATACAAGTTCATGCATGGATCATCCTCATGCTCATAGTACTGAGGTAATTACTGAAGGCCTTGTGTAGCTGAATGACTCTGGCAGTATATATAGTAGAGCTGATACGTATATATGATATACAGTTGATGTGTGGATAAATGATCAGTTTTATGGCCATTTGTGGTGAGTGTGAGTACTTTACACATATTATCTCACATTCTCAAAGGGCCTTCTGATATCATTTTTGGACATATCTGCTATGGTTATCAAAGACTTATTTGAGTCAATGAAAATTGGGCTCTGCGAGCCCCATACTTACTTGACACGATATGATGATGTCATTCGTGACCATCTTGACTTGTTCCTCTACCTCATCTCTACCTACAGGTTCAGAATCTGAAAATGGGACTTGAGAGCCTTACCAACCCAATGCTGTGATTTTTTTTTCTTTCTTTCTTTTTAAACGAAATTCAGAGGAAATTACCTGTAGTTATTCTTATAGATGCATGCTCTCATTTTTTTTCCTATCATTCTTATTAGTTGTATGTATGTGCTAAACACACACACACACACATGTACACGCACACCCACACCCACACGCACACCCACATGCACACCCACACGCACACGCACACGCACACGCACACGCACACGCACACACACTCACACTCACACTCACACTTCACTCCACTTCACTTACATACAGCAAAAAAGGCAACTCATTTAGACTCAACTTTTATTCTTTCTTTTTTTTCCAAATAAGTTTTTAATCTTCTGTTGAGTACACAGGCCATCTGTTAGCGAGTAAAGGATATTGCCAGAGAAGAAATTGATAATGACTAACACAATATTCTTTTGTCCAAGCTCATTCTCACACTTCGGAATTAAAATAGTATTCCTGTCATGCCATTTTTACTTCATTTTCCATGCCCGATTTGAAACATTATAACTTAGACAACCAGCAAAATACAGTGAAGTGAACAGTTGACATAACAGATTGAAATGTTATTTTTTAAATAGTCGCAAGTCATGGGAAAGATGGGAGATTTATTGCGAAATTACGAAATGACTGGAAACAATTAGTGGAAGATATTTCATGTATATTTATTTCCCAAAGATAATAAGCAGACATTCCTTTTTTTATAGGGGCTCTTATGATGCAATATTACTATTATTATCTAGGAAAAATACACAAAAAAAAATTAAATGGAAGAGTAAACAGAAATTCATAGAATTATTAAATCCATGTGCTCAATAACTGTGCCTTCATACAAAGATATACACAGTTTGAAAATGAAATATTGAAATGTACATGCTGCTGCCAAGTTTTTGAGTTTTTGAATTATTCACATGTTGAGCAGAACTTGAAAAATAATTTGAAATAAGAGATGATAAGGATAAATTTACATATTTAACCCATTGTTGCTGGGTAAACATACTGTCAACTGTAGTTTTCTTTTGTGAATTTTGTTTTCACATAGATGGTTCGATAAGTGCTCAGTAATCTAAGGAGCCATTTGGTATGTCTACTCGACCTCTTCTGATTTCCACTTTCCTTGAATTTTTAGTTTTTTTTTTTTTTTTATGCCATCAATATTGATGTTATTGGTACGACTGATGTTATAATAATAATGTTATTGATAATATAATTTTTTTTTTTTCAATCAGGTGATCTAGATACAACTAGTAATTAGTGATAATATTAATAAAAAAAAAATCAGGTGAAAATGATATAATCAGTAATTGGTGATGAAGCACTTGTGGAGTCATCTGTGTAGAGACAATAAGCAAAAATATATGGGTGACATGGCACCTATTCTTGCCACCTTGGCTTCAATGAGTTCATACTTTTGGAAATTATTATGACCAAGTAGCCAATTGATTCAAATAAGCATGTTAAAAGTATATAATCTGTAGGAAGCGATAAAGTCATAACTTGCTAGTGGTTGAAAACAAGCTGAGAGGTGGTTTTTCATTCTTAAATGACTATACTTTCTGTATACAAAATTAATTTACATAGAAAAGAACAGTCAGAATTCATCTCTAATATTGAAATTTCATACTTGTACAACTTTCGCGTATTGTGTTTACTTTCATTTGAACTGGAGAGGAATATATAAATATTTTTTTTTAGATCACTACCAGTGGATGAACATTTCCTTTCAAAAGTGTATTTACTTTGATATGAGAACCAGAAAATATATATTTTGAGAATGGAGCTGCAGAAAAATTTTGAAGCTACTCCTTTTAAATAATTCTAATCAATTGAAAATAAATGAAAATACTCTTTATTTGACTGCCTGTAACATATTATTCTGAATCTTTAGCCAGGATGAGTGTAGTTCATACTTTTAGGACATTCTTTTTTTATATAAATGAAGATTTTGTTTCTAAGTGGATTTTTTTCTATCTTTTATTTACAAATATATATCATGTAGAGTAATCCCCCCCCCCCTTTTATTTACACATATGTATCATTTTGAGCTCGTCTTTCTTTCATTTACACATATGTATCATGTAGAGCTCATTGTAAAAGCATTTCATTTCACAGAGCTCTGAAACTCTTTCTTGAAGTGGACTGATACTTCTTGAGATGAAGATTCAAAGTTCTGTGAAAACAACAGTATGACAGGGTTGTAGGCTCAGTATCAACTTAATAATTGACCTGATCCTAGTATCTCTGCTGCATGTTGCTCTTCTAAGTACTTCCATATGTAAGGTGGGTGAGTTTGTTGGCAAACTGTGCCAATGAATTTCTGATTTTTTTTAATATGAATATTAAAATATGGTGCCTATATATATAACTATGGTGTTTTCATTTTCCTTCTTTTTAGTGGTGATCGTGTTTCTTCTGGCTTGTTGAAGAAGAAAAATTGAATCCAGCATATACATGAGTATGCACACACACATATATATATATATATATATATATATATATATATATATATATATATATATATATATATATATATATATATATATATATATATATATACAGAGTGTGTGTGTAAAATATCACAGAGTATTTATTTTTTTTACTGAAAATAAGGCTTTTTTGTTGACATCTAGAATATATATGGTCTTGAAAAATTGAAAATAAAGAAAAATTATAATCTATAAGATATATTAGGCAAATGACTAACAGGCTTTTCTTGGATTTTATTATCTTTTTTAAAGTTTTTAAGTTTTTAAAGTTTTTGCAACTTTTAGACCAACTTTTTTACAGTGTGCTCCCCCCTGGTTTGAAAATGAGTGTTATACTACAGTTGATTAGTGTAAATCATTTTATAAATCCATTGGATTTATATATTTTTACAAGATGAAGCCATTTCATATATGTTAAGAACTGAGTGGGGAAGGAATTATGCCATCAAAGTTACCCATCAAAGATATATGTTTTTGGGGTTATGCTTGAAAAGGGGTCATTAGATAGTTGTACCCCCCACCCCCCCAATCCCTTCCTTGTTGTCATGGGGGGGGGGGGGCTTAGGAGATACAAACTAAGGCCCTATGTAGAGGATCACCCTGACCATGACCATTAGCCCTTGCCTCAATTAATTATGCATGGTCTTTTCTTCTCTCCCTTTCCTTTTCCTTCTCTTCATCCCTTCCTTCTGTCCACTTATTGTTAACTCAATTTTAACCTTTATGCCATAATACTTAACCATAGTGCTCTATGACCTTGGTTATCTAGCACATTTATTTTTTTTTTTACTGATAAGCCCATACACAGTTGTACAACTGATACACTTCTAAAGAATTTATACTTTTTTAGCTTTACCAGGATTTTATATGATTATAGTCTTTAAGAAAAAAAAATAGGTTTTTATTTATTACACTAAAAAGAGTTAAATTTCCATCACTTGAAAGCCAATATATCAATCATCAAAATATCCAAGTTGAGATTTCAAACAGGAAACAATAAAAAGGTGTCAGTTTGAACATTCTAGCAGAGAGAGAGAGAAAGAGAGAGAGAGAGAGAGAGAGAGAGAGAGAGAGAGAGAGAGAGAGAGAGAGAGAGAGAGAGAGAGAGAGAGAGAGAGAGAGAGAGAGAGAGAAAGAGAGAGGGAGAGACAAAGAGAAGGAGAAAGAGAGAGTAAGAGAGAGAGAGAAATTTCTTGATATATATTATGGTCCTTATTATAACTACAATAGTTGTAAAAATCACATAATATGAAATAGAATAAACTTTTTCATATTAGATATTAAACAGATTCACATAAATTCAAAATGAAATAATATATGGACACTTGAAATATATTTACCTTTTAAACTGTACAATACCTAATTTTCAATTTTGATAAGTGCTGTTAATTCAGGTGATTTTTGATTTATATAAAAAAAACCTTTACCTTAAATTTTGTTTCAAGTAATCCTCCATAAATATTTTCCTTCACTTTTAACTCAGACATCTAAAATTTCTTTCCTTGAAAGAACGTTGCCCATCAAAAGGTTTGAAAACGGGTAAAGCAAACACACAAGTTCATCAAGAGATTTTTTAATAATGACATTTACGACTGGTAAAATTTTGCAATGCTTGGTCTTCTGCATAAAACATACATATTACTGTATACTGGACAAAAATACAAAACAATATCTGTACAATATATTACAATTGAAAATAAAATGAGATTTATAAATGTTTTGTATCTTGACAGTAAAACTATGCCTACATGAGGCTTCCTCCTGCACTACTAAGTCAGCTTCTGAAAGTAAGAAAGACATAAGCATTACACTTCACATTCATGGCACCGCATGGAAACTGCATGGTGATTGGGGGTATAATGCAGCAGCCTAAGAGTCCACTGAACGGCCTTCACTGAGACCCATTTACATAAATAATGCTACTGGATTTTTAAAAAGTCACCTTCAACTATGGAGAAAAATATCGTCAGTTGCTATAATGCTGGCATTTCTACCTAGCAGTCCTATCTAAGTTACCAACCATTCATCACAGGTCAATGAAAAAACAAAAAAACAAAAACAAAAAAAAAACAATAAATAAACAATAATAATCCCTTAGACATGTCCAATATTTTGTGACAAAATATGACATTGCTTATCACTGAGATATACACTAATCCTACATTGTGTAAACCCAGTATATGTGTATAATCATCATTAATATCTAGGAACTGTACCCCATCATTAAAATAATAATATTAATAATAATAATAATAATAATAATGATAGATAAGTACATAAAAAGAACTTTTATCCTCTGCCACCTCCTCTAGCAAAGCAATTTTTAGCCAATTAAGTGGTTTTAACTATGATAAAGCTTCTTAGGAATTTCATTATGTAATATGTAAAAATGTGTAAAAATGGATACCCAGAGATAGGAAGGGGAGAGTGAAATAAAAAACAAACTAAATATCACTATGCTGACAGTTTTACATATACCTTCACTGTTTACTAAAAAAGAAAAAAAAAAACAATAAATTATAAATACCCTTTAAAATCTGAATATGCCATTGTGAAATACTTTCTCAACAACCCTGTATATTTTATTCCCATACTATAACACTCTTAAAAAATATCACTTTCCTCAATACTAAATAACCACAAGTTCACCTTTGGCTAAACTGTACTATAGCTTAATATAACATGCAGAGAGGAAACTTAATAATGATAAGCTCTGGTTCCTTTTAGATCTTTGGGGAAAAATCAGATTAAATGACGAGTCCCACTTTTCTATAAAAATAATGAAACGTCTTACAGAATAGTTCAGATATGTACATCATGATGCTCTTGACATGTCATTTACCATTCATCTTTAAAGGGGGAAAGGGGAGATTGAAGATATTACTATAGAAAAATAAATGTCGCATTAGTACAACATAAGACTTTGGTTTCAGTAAAAATAAAAAAAGAAAAAATGCACAACAAATTGTTACAAAACCATACTTATGGTCAAAACAAATTGAACTAAAATACAAAATCAAAATAATGAAGAACAGCAGTTCAACATAACATTTCAACCATTTTTTGTCTTTCTGTTCTATGACAGACATAAGCTGTCATTTTTAAGTATGCAAAGAATTCAAAAGCCATGGATAAATGCCCATATGATGAAACATGATCACTAACAGAAAACAATCATAAATCACATTTTGACTAATGATTAAAGATACTCCTTATCACTAAAAATAAACTGACCATCATTAAGACTCGCAAGAAGAAATACATCTATATATTCAACTTCTCGTTTCATTCTAAACTTTAGTCCGATATTTGTCATTAACCATCTAAAGATCACTTACTTCACACATAAAGTAACTGTGTATATGAACATATGTAGGTGTGAAAGGGATATACAGTAGATTCCTAGAGGTACTTTATAGAGATGTATGAGGATGAACTGAATAATAAATTTGATGAAAGTGTAGGTGTAACTACTTTCCCAAAATTCTTTGGTGCGCAACTCAAATCACAACCATTTTTGGCTTGCTTCACCTTTGCTATCAAGAAATGTCTTACTATTGTTTCACATAATACCTGTGCTTGTTTTCACATATCATTACAGTGTAGCTAACTCATAAAACTGGAACACCTTGGAATTAGCTTCATCTGTAATTGGCAAAGTAGGTTTTGGGAAAATTTTGAAACAGAAAGCTTGGGACTAAATTCTTAGGCTATTCTTGAAAGAAAATTGTACCCCATAATGCCCAAAACTATATTAGAAAAATTAATGTTTTTTTAAATAATATCAATGAAATCATAACTAAGCATAGCTATCACATTGCTGACAGTATTTCTGAATCTGTACTCTTTATAGCAATTTTGCCTTTCAACATGGGAGATAGTCATTATATCATAAATGATTAAAATGTAAAACGATAATAACTAGTTAGCATTATGTTTCTGTGACACTGATTGACATTACAGTCCTATTGTAGAATATAATAGGATAGGATTTTGTGAGTTCAAAATGATGTGCCATTTGGGGTGCAGGACAAAGTGTGAAAATCACTATCACATAAATTTATGAAATATGAGGTTGCCATTCAAATTCTCTAGAAATAATTGTCCACTCATTATAAGAAAGTATAAAATGACCCAACAAAACTTTTGTCACAGTCCTAGATTGCAAACATATCAATTTTTAATTAATTCACAAAAAATATATATTACATATACTAGTGCTACCTTACTCAATAATACTCGAGAATTATGAATGTAATACTGATAAGACAGCTGGAATCTGTGACTTAATACCATTGAAGTATTTACATAAAGTAGATTGTATATGAGAACTGATTTGTAGTCATGACTAAGTATTTGAAATATTCAGTAAGCTTTACATATTCCTATGTTGGCAAATCAAATTATTAAGAACTAGAACAACCTGGTGGGTATATATGATAGCTTGCATAAAGAAGACTTTGAGTGTGGTAGTGAGTGATAATTCATGACTCATGACCATACATAGCAACAGGGTGAACTGCACAGTTCAGACAATGCACTCATCTTCCTTAAATTCCAATCCCTCTACTGAATTTAGGGAAACAAATATGCTTAGCTTAAATACAAGTATAGTATATTGTCCAAAAAATTAACTTCTATTTCTATGATTGTGGTAAAGTTCAAGCCATATACATTTCAGTCCAGTTTTCAGTTGTGAAGTATTTTGAAAGCAGATATAAACCATTTCATATCTACTCTCTGGTCTCCTGGTACGTCTGACTGGTAAATGATTGAATGTCAAATAATTTTAATTATCATTCCCTAAGGTTAATCTTAAGTACAAAGGAAAATATAAAACATCAAAGCAACGGTAAACTCCATGGTATATTTTTGTGCCATTTCATTTCCTGATATGATGTGTGCTTGTTATGAAAGATATAATTAATGATTTCCTTACAGCAATGATCAGTCAAATAAATAGTAATAGGCAATCACAAGTCTGTGCATTCTAGTTTAATAAAACCACCTAAGGTGTCCTTCTGCATAGCTAAATCCACATATCACTGTAATCCAAAAGCTACTTTGTGGAAAGTCTGAAAGTGTACAGAAACCACCCACAAGGATAGTACTTAATTAAAGGTTTTAAATATGTGATATGTGAGAGAGTCAATGTCTATAAAAATTATGTATGGTTGAATACTTTGATGAGGTTCAGTATGGCAATGTCATGATTATATTTGCATATAGTTGGTATGATCTTAGGTCATGAGATTAAAAAGGATAGACAGAGGAAGAGGAGGGAGGGAGAGGGAAAGCGAGGAGAGAGAATTTCTTATGAATAAGGATTATGTGATGTTTCCTATCGATAAAGATTATCCTTCTTTGAAGTGCAATCAAATTGTGCATTTTAATCACTATAATAAAGTAGATATAGCACGTCACAGAAAGAGAAATTTAAAAGATAAGGAATTAACATATTCATAACAGCTTAATGAAAATTTTAAAATGACAAGTAATTCAGAAAAAAAAAACAACACTAAAAAACATTTATAAGACAAATATTTAAAATTTCTATTGATATTCTTTCATTTTTATTAGTGACAAATGTAATATACAGATATATGTATTTATACATGTATATATATATGCATTTATGTAAGTGTTTGTGGACATGTGTGTGGGTTTGTATTTGTGTGTGCGTGTGTGTGTGTGCATGTTTGCATGTCTATCTGTCCATTTCTTTGTCTATATTACCTACATGTACATAGTATATATACACATACATATATACATACATTTTTTATATATATATATATATATATATATATATATATATATATATATATATATATATATATATATATATATATATATATATATATGTATACATATATAGTATAAAGTAGAAAAGCACAACCAAATGACTGGGTTAATGTTATAAATACTTCATCTTGAATACCAAAACAAAAAGCGTACTTTTTAAATTCACTACAAAGGTTTTAAGATTCATGTCAGACAACATGTAAGCAATAAGCTGGAGGGAGAAATGAGGAAACACATTTAATTTTCTTCAATCTTCAAGGCAGAACCATTTGTTTCCCTGTTCTTCAATTTATTTTGCTTACCTCACAGATCATGAAGTCATTACCTCTTATTAAACATTATGCAAAACCTCTCACAACCATTTTTACATTTATGAAACTGATTGCAAAAATATCAAGTTTCATTTTTGAATTATGCTTTTAGAACACATACTGTTTATGTAGGTACTGTCATTTCAAGTAATATTTTATATAGTTTCTAGCAATGGTAATATAATACTAACAGGAGAAGGAACAGCAAGAGAGGAAGAGGGAGTGAAAGAGAGAGAGAGAGGGAGGAGAATGAGGGGGAGGCAGGGAGGGAGCGAGCTGGGGAGAAAAAGAGAGAGGGAGAGAGAGGGAGAGAGAGGGAGAGAGAGAGAGAGAGAGAGAGAGAGAGAGAGAGAGAGAGAGAGAGAGAGAGAGAGAGAGAGAGAGAGAGAGAGAGAGAGAGAGAGAGAGAGAGAGAGAGAGGGGGGGGGAGCTAAAAGATGGGAGAGAATGGAAGGTAGAAGCAGAGAGAAAGCAGCAGTGGAGAAGGAAGAGAGTCAGAAGGAAGGGAGCAAAGTGAGTTAAAAGGAAGAATGAAAGGCAGATGAAAAGAGAAAAATATTGGAAAAAGAAGTAATAAGCGTAATAGATGTTTTCTGTATTATGATGTTAATCAAGTTTCCTAAACACTCTTCAGTAAATTTCAGCAAAGTTATTTCAGTCTTTTC